TCCCAAATGTCCCTGTTTGAGCAGCCAGCTGTAGTAATCAGTGCTCAGTCATTGCAGGGTGCAAATATGGCTGACTGCTTTCGCAGTGTTTATTGCCTTATATACAGGTATTCAAATAGCATAAAGTAAGATGGCATCACATAGTAACAGCATTTCTATTGGTGAAACCCCTTGTCAATCATTAAGAAAATATAAGTTAGGAGGCCCAGCCAGGGAGCAGTTTCTACCACATCCTGTGATGTAACCAGGCTGATATCAGGCAGGTGAGGTCATTGTACCAGCCTGGGGTAGTTTCCCACATTGCCATGGTGATGTGAATGGATGAGATCATGTAGAGAGAAGAGGCACGCAGGCTTCAGGGGGGCAGTTTGCTGCTCACGACCTCTACCTGGCCCCTATCTCTACACTACATTATCTTCTCTCTGTTCCTGTGGCATCCAAAGGAAAGCCATAGGGAAAAACATATGTTTCTCTTCCTATTACTTCTTTTTACTCAGTCATCCACTCAGATGGATTGGTACCATCTTTTTAAAGAGAAACTTTGACTCCCTTCCTTCCTTCCTTCCTTCCTTCCTTCCTTCCTTCCTCCCTCCCTCCCTCCCTCCCTCCCTCCCTTTCTTTCTTTCTTTCTTTCTTTCTCTTTCTTTCTTTCCTTCCTTCTTTTTCCTTTCTTTCTCCTAATCTATCACACATAAATCTATCCTTTTAGTTCAAGACAAAGATCATTTATTGATAAATCAACCTAATTTTTTAAAAAACATTACTTATATGTATTTTAATATATTATATGCTATGTGTGAATAGTTCATATATTCTCTATGGAGTACTGTAGTTAGATTTACTTGAAAGCAGTGCAGATTATAACAATTCTTATTGTGACACTTCTTATTTTCAGAACCTTTTTAGGTACTGTAGCAACTACTTTCAAATATAATGGCATCCTTGCAACACATGGATCCTCTTTTCTCAGTCCTGTGTTTCACTATACATCATATCAAACATATCAAACACAAGGCCCGGGGGCCGGATGCGGCTCGCGATGTGGTTTCATGTGGCCCATGAAGCCATCCTGGAAACATTAAGGGAATGGCCCCCACTGCCTTGGCCCCGGCCCAGGCCGCCCGGGAGCCAATGTACAATTTTGTGGTGGCCATCTATGCTGAAATGCATAGATGGCAAGTCTTAGCTCCACAAGACCATCTGGAAACAGCAAGGGACCGGCCCCTGCCATGTTGGCCCTGTCCCCTGGGCACGCACTGGGGAGATGTCACCCTTTGTGAGGAATGAAGAAATGCACCATCGCCTGGAAGTGGCCAGCAAATGGCCCTTGCTTACTTCACATATCCGGCTTGATGGGCTCCCGGGGAGGGGTTTCAGCAGGCAGTGGGGCGCTGTCCTCACAGGCGGCGTGAATCCAAAAAGAAGTGCACTGCCGCTCAGCCCCCAGCCTGCCCAATTTCGGGAGGCAGTGGCAGGCAATTTCACAGCGCCGAGAGGCTGAGCCAGGCAGTGCAAATTCAAAAAGAAGTGTTTCACCGCTCAGCCCCCAGCCTGCCCGATTTCAGCAGGCAGCAAGGTGCAAAGCTGGCGAGCTTCGCACTGCCCAGCTCAGCCTTTGGCGCTGTGAGGAGAGCGCCCCGCTGCCTGCCAAAACCGGGCAGGCTGGGGACTGGGTGGATTCGTGCTGCCTGGTTCAGCCTCTCGCCACTGTGAGGAGAGCACCTCGCTGCTTGCCGAAACCAGGCAGGCTGTGGGGGCTGGATGGCATTGCGCAGGTAACGTCGACTCTCATGTTGCTCATGGCATCTCCTCCCCCAAAGTCCACCAAGCCAGATATGTGAAGTAGGCGAGGGCCATGTGCTGGCCACTTCCAGGCGATGGTGCATTTCTTCATTCCTCATGAAGGTTGACACCTCCCCAATTGCGTTTCTTGCCTGTTTTTCTCTCTCCCTCATCTCAAATATTTTCCCACCACTCTGTTCTTAGGAAGGAAGGAAGGAAGGAAGGAAGGAAGGAAGGAAGGAAGGAAGGAAGGAAGGAAGGAAGGAAGGAAGAAAGAGAGGGAGGGAGGGTCTGAGGGAAGTCCTGCCTTAGTCCTGCCCTGCTGCCCTTTCACCATCCCCTTGCCCCCTCCTCCTGGCCTATCTTGGGGGTCTCCCATCCTATTGCTAAGGAAACTTTGGATACAAAGCCAGGTCTCCTCCCGTGGAGAGGGAGTGGGCCTCCCTCTGACTTTGCCCTCATACCCATCATGAGCAACCTGGCTAAGGAGAGCAAAGCACAGCAGCAGCAGCCTTGAGAAGGAGGTAAGTGCAGCTGGGCAGCCCCTTGGGGTAGTGGGGCTGGGCTTGGTGCCGCGGGTGCTTGAGGGTTGGGCTGGGCGTTTGACCTCTGCTGCCCAGGGCTCTGGGAAGCCCGTGGCACCATACAGCCCCCCCTCACATGGCCTGAGAGGAACAATGAGGCTCTTCCAGTGGAGCATGCCTTGGCGCTTGCCCCGGTCCCACCCCCTTCTGCCAGAGACCCTCAGATCTGTCCACTCCTGCCCAGGCCCCCACAGGCGCCCTTGACACGAACAATGTAGAGCTGGCCTTGCCCACCCAGTAGGCCACACCCACTCCAGCCACACCCATCCAGTAGGCCATGCCCACCTGGCCACACCTACTTGGCCCCCCGAGGACAACCGTAATGCTGATGCAGCCCTCAATGAAATTGAGTTTGATACCCCTGCTATACATGGATACATGCATATTAAAAACAGAAACATATTTTTGATGGAAAAATTTGTATGCTTGAAACATCCAAAAACATTTTCTGCTTCTGCACATACTGTTCACCCCTTCTTTCCAATTGTTAAGAAGGGAAACCTATCTTCTGTTATCTGAGGTTACTTTCTTTTTTTCTTTCTTTTTAATCTTTCAGGTTTGCTTGTGGACATAACCAAAGACTACAAATATATGTATTTTGTCTGTGGTATAATTGTTGTTGTTTCAAGCATTTGGCTGTTCATTGGAAATGCAATCAATTATAGACTTTTGGCAAAAGAGAAGAAATTAGAAGATGAAAGGCAGAACGTCTTAAAGAATGCTGATTCCAAGGAAGTGGAGCCTTTGACCCACAAAGAAAGTGAAGAAGTTCTCAACAGATCCAGCAAAATGCAAGACAGTCCTTCAGAAAGAGAAACAAATATTTAACATAAATATACATATTTATAATGTTCGAAGTACATGCCAGATGTTTTATAGTAGTTATAATCAATTACAATATCAAATGGCAATAGGCATTTACAAAACCACATGTATTATAAAATTAAATTAAATCACTGTTCTGTCCCTTCTAAAGAGAGAGAAGGATACAGAAAGAGTCTTCCCAGAACTGCATTAAAACATTTTCCTCTTTAATCACGCTGCCCTGGTAACAACTGACTTCTATTAAAATGTCAAGCTATTCACAGCTAGACTAAACTTTTCTGTATCTGGCCTTCAAACAATCTGTACCTGTCCAGGTGTACACAATAATTGCAACAAGGGAACAATCTATAGTGTGGTATGAGAAGGGAGATTTATGTTGGAGTCTTTCAAAGATCCATTGTTTATTCTGCTCTACATTTGTTGGAGCAGAATTTAGCATGATGTTTTATTTTGATGTCATGTATTCTAGGGCTCCTGTAGAATTTGATATAAATTGCTTAAACATAAATCCCAAACAGGGTAGTGCCGTGACAGTAGGATCTTCCTGTTACAAATATTCTTGCTTCAACAATGCCTCACCCAAAAAGTGCTACTATAGGGAATTACTGTACTGAAGAAATACCCATGTCTACTGATCTTTTCACAAGATAATTTTTGTGTGAGAGGAGTTGTTTGATTTGTTGCTTTTTTATTGTTCACTAGAAGGAAACAATTTAAAGTGATGAGTTCAAATGTGAAAGTAAAAAATGGAATAACTCTTAATAGCTACTTGAGTAAAAAGTGCACAAAAATGTATCACCACTGTTTTTATAATGCATTTTTAGTAGATCCAACTGGGTCTATTATCTCTGATCAAACTTTTGCTATGTGGCTTTTAACGACATATGAAAATGGTAAGTGTTATTGCTAAATGCAATAATGTTTTCATTTTAGCTGATAAATAGTTTTTTTTCTCCACTGTAAAAACATTAGTCATTTAAATATATACAACCAGATATTAAGATCTGGAAATAATACTTATGATGGATTGTCTCATCATTATATATTGTAGCTAGATATGCTGGCACAAATGTTAGCATCAGGGTATAACTTTTGAACAACGTATTGCCTTGTGATCATCACTTCACTCTGTTTGTATTCACACTTATTGAAACAAACTCCCTTATCTTATTAAATACTCTGCCCTTGGTGATCATTATTTTTTTCAAGATGTGGGAGGTGAATCTTTGCCACACTCACATTATTCCCTGTTAATAAAGTTACTCTCAACAAGGATTCAATGTTTCCTATTACAGACCACACAGTGTGAAATGTTTATAGGGATATCAGGGACCAGAAAAAAATAATCAGGAGGGAGACTGTATCAGATTTGTGGATTGCCAACTGGCCATCTTTACATTTTTTTCCATCTTTAGAAGCAAAATCTATGGGTCATAAAGTAGCAGAAGTTTTGTTTTTTCTTTCCTTCTTCCTTAGTACATGATTATTTGAAGAACAAATAATTGTTCTAATCGGTGGCATCCGATTCCAGACTATTCTACTCTGGAACAGTGATTCTGCCTAGATTGAATTTTGGTATAAAGATCCCCAAATCCCCTATCTGAAAAATAAAAGTTGATCAGTACATAGATCTGATCAGTTCCTCAGATCTGAACATCACCAGGCAGACCTTCTTCCGTTAAAATTTCTTTCCTTGTTCACGGCACTAATAGTAGGGGATTGTAGATCCCATGTTTATGGACCATGGACCTCAAACAAAGAGCTGAGATGGAGCCAGTCTTTCTCAGTTGGCCAATATGCATCTCAAGCAATGGCCTCTGTACAGTTATTGTAATTGTGCTGAGCTATAGTTACAAATAAAGCATTCATCCCACTGTATTAATTCGAAATAGAACCCTTTAAATACCTGCTCTTGTGAAGCTGCTTTCAAGGGGCACTTCACTCAAGATCTTCATCAAAGGAAACCACTTTCAGAGATCTGCATAGTCTAAATTGATATCAAGTTTCACATCTTACAATGGTGATATAAAACAAGATAACCAATTTTGCACATTAAGTGGTGAAATGCACATGCAGTCCACTGTTGATTATCTTTTTTTCTCATGAAACATAATTTTAAAAAGATCTCAGACATTCAACTATCACTGATGTTCACTTTACTTCTTGCTACACTATGACTATATTTTGTTCAGAAAGTAGTACTGTAACTCAGCTATTTATAGAGTATCAACTGTAACTGTAAAGACCAAGCTTGTTGTAGTGGTTAAGATTAGAAACAGGGAGATGGTTCGCTCTTGTCCCACCTTAGGCATAAACCTGGCAGGGTGACCTTGGGTCAAATACTCTCAGCCCTAGGAACTAGGCAATGCCAAACCCCTTCTAAAATCTTGCCAAGAAAACTGCAGGGACTTGTCAAGGCAGTTGCCAGAAGTCAATGTTGACTAAAAAAGGGCTTTTCAACCTTTTCACCTATTGTACCACTTTTAGGATATGGCAATATCCGAGTACCTAGCAAGGTGTCAAAACTCGATGACCAAAAAAAAAAAGGAAAAAAGTGATAAAGTACAGGTAGTCCTCGACTTACAACAGTTTGCTTAGTGACTATTCGAAGTTACAATGGCACTGAAAAAAGTGCCCCCAAGCCACAGCCGAGCAAGACACCTGCCTGCCCACCCGGCGGCACTCTTCCTCCGGTCCGAGGTTTTCATTGTTGTGAGCATTTCTGTTGAGGATTGGCAGCGGGGGTGAGGTGGGGGGGTGTTTGGTTTTTATTCCCCCTCCGGTCTGCTGGGTGGTTGCAGCAGGTTTTGGTCACTTCACATGACCCTGGGACACTGTGACCGTCATAAATATGAATCAGTTGCCAAGCATCTGAATGTAAATCACAAGACCCTGGAGATGCTGCAACATTCCAGCTGATCAGCGCTTCTTCTGGGCTCAGCAGAAGCACCAGGATCAGCGCCGAGCTCCAGCTGGAGACTGCCACTGATCCTGGTGCGTCCACTGAGCCCTGACAGCCCTGCAGCTCCAGCCATCTCTCGCTCAGGCTTGTGCGGTGCTGCCACCGGTTCAGCTCATTCCCCTCCCCTGCTACCACTTTTCTAGGATGTTCACGTACCACCTGCCAGGTGCCAATGTACCACAGGTGGTACCCGTACCACTGGTTGAAAAGCCCTGGACTAAAGGCATGCATGCATGAGTGTACAGTGCACACACACACAAACAGAAACACACACTATAGCCATAAGAAATAATCTTTAAATGAGTCACAGGATATGCTGCTGCTTAATAGTTGATATCTACAATGCAAGCTGCTTAATTCAAACACAATAAAGCAAAGTGTAGTCTCCACACCCTGCTTTTTAAACTTTTAATTATAGATTTCTAATCAGACTAAAAACTGAGCAAGCAGGAAATAAATTTGGGTTCATAAAGAAGCATTCATTTTATCATCCCAGATCATTAATGTAATATGAATTTGGAAGGTAGAATTTTTTTTCTCCTATGGTGTAATTCCTGCTTCCATTCTACTCAATTATTCACAATCCAATGAATTCCTACAAGATAAGTGTTCTACAATTAATTTGGACAGTTCTCTCCACTAAAGCTGCATTTGCAATGAGACGTTAACTTGATCTCTGATCAGAAATTAAAGTCAGACAACTTTGTTTTGTCTCATAGAATTCAATGAGATGCTAATTCATAGCTTCACCATAGTTGCCTTTAGTTCAACCTATGATGTGTTACTATATAAGTAGTTATAGGAGCATGAGGTTCACACTGAGCACCCAAACTCCATCCTCCATAAATCTTGTTGGATTTAGCAGCAAGTCTGAAAGGATATTTCTATTCACTTCAGGATAAGTAGAACATATATCACCCACAACTTTCCTTTTCAAAGATCTTGATAGCAGAAGAATAGCTTGAATCTTGAATATTACTTATATTCAAGGAATTGCCAGAGAATCGCTGTCAGGCTTCCTCGTTCATGTCAATGGCCAAGAGCAGCATATGTCAGGATAATTAGATGAAATTTCTTGTATTCATTTGTATGTCTGAATAGGGCTCAGACTGCTGCAGAGCTTGTGTAAGGGTTCTATGAAGGGCATACAATTGTGAGGAATAATGAGAGCTATATTTATGTGTCAGCAGCTGCAGCCAGGATGAAGAAATAGAAGGTCTGTGTGTGTGAGAGAAAGAGTATTTAAATTTGATTACATTAAATTTCAACCTAATTAGAATTAAATGCACATGGGAACACGTGTGTAGTATTTTCTTCCTCTCACAATAAAAAGTGCAATTCAGTTCCAACTTTTGAAGATTTTTGTGGGCCATACTCAAGGTGTTGGGAGGCTTTTACACATGCATGTTTCCTTATTTTTACATAATGGTAATTATATATTTTCATCCTATACAAAGCAGTTGTCCATTGTTAAGTGCATATGGTATACAGGATGTACAATGTTGCCCATATATATGTATGAAATTACTGAAGAGTGGTGACATCCCTGGCCCCTGTGTCAGGTTGGTTTACCTAGTCCTAGATTGCCTATAGATACATACTTTAAAAAAAGAAAAATTAAACTTGCATGTAGATTCCATGTAATTTCCATATGATTAGAACAAATAGTTCTGTAGCCAGACTGATATGAAAACCTCTGTTTGCATGAAGATAACTTAAAAACAGACACTCTTTTTTATTTGGCCTAGAAATCTCTGAAAGCATAAGCCCCCTCTGACCCTTATCATCTTCCTCCACAAACTTCCACAAAACAAAAACAGTTCTAAATCATTCCAGCCCTGTTCCTTTCAAGAGGTTTTCAGGGCCATTACATGGGGAGGGTGTGTGGTTGCCTGTGGCCACAGTTGCCCATTTCTGCATGGAACACCATGCTAGGGTTTCCTGCCTGAGCAGGAGGTTGGACTAGATGACCTCCAAGGTCCCTTCCAACATCATCATCATTATTATTATTATTTGGGCCTTTTTAGAAGAGGTGAGGAAGCACATTCTGGTCAGAGGTAAAAAGGCTGTTCTTCTTGTGAGTGATGTGATGCTTCTATGTATGTAATGGGTGACCAGCTTGGATAAATATGAAGTCCTTAAGGAAAGAAAAGTCTTAACAAATATAGCAAAATACATTTGTTGATTACCTAAGAATGGGAAAAAAGATACAAACTGCTCACAGTTGGACATTTTACTATAAATATCTTCAAAGTGAAAATTAAGAGCTTGGATTCATAAAATATGTATGTTTGTTTTATGTAGCATATAGGCAACCTGCTAATTGTGAGGCAGAATGTTTTCGCATTTCAAAACTATTTTCTTTTATCAAGAATCTGTGGTTATCTGGCAGATTTTGAAGCAGATTAGAGATAGAAACACCTCTAGGTATTTGGGGTTTTTTTTTAACAACAGTGAAGTTGTTGTTTATCTCAGTCATCTTTTCCCTCCCTCCCTTCCTTCTTTGCCTTAGTGTCTTATTTTGTATCATTTGCTGTTCTAACATTTTTCTGCTTAGCTTATAATTAAATTTTAAAATGTGTGCCATGGATTATTGCCATTTCAAGACTTTTGGCATTTAAAATACTGGCAGTTCAGTTTACTAGTAAAAGAGCAAATAAAATTAATTAGCCAAACAATTGGTATTCTAGAACGGGTATGTATGTATGTATGTATGTATGTATGTATATATGTATGTATGTATGTATGTATGTATATTTAACTTTGATTATAGATTGGTTAAGCTTCGTGTTATTGCTAGAGACCAAATCTAAAAATGGCACCATTTCTTGTGACTGAATGGCCTTTGTCGTGAATTTTTAGAAGCATTCTAGTCCCACCTTAGGCGCAAAGCCCACTGGGTGACTTGGGGCTAATCACACTCTCGGCCTCAGAAAGCAGGCAATGGCAAACCACTTTGGATAAACCTAGCAAAGAAAACTGTAGGAACTTGCCAAGACAGTCACCAGAAATCAAGACTGGCTTGAAGACACACACACACACACACATACACACACGCACACAAGGGGGGAGTAGGAGAGCAAAGTAGGCAGGAGGAGAAAGGAGTGGACAAAGCTATCAATAAAGGAAAATATTTGTAGCTCAGGATTGAAATAAAAAGTCCTTAGTGCTCTCTGAACTTGGTTGTTTTCTTGCAGATGTTTTATTATCCAAACTAAGTAGTAGTAGTAGT